CTGAGCGGCGGGCGGGCCATGGAGCCAGGGCCCGGGCGGGGGGCTGGGAGCGGGAGCGCTTCTCCCCGCGGCACCGAGCTGGTTCCCTGAGGAGAAATGTGCCCCTCGGGTTATCCCGGAGAGGGGAGGAGCACGCTGCGGCCCGCGGAAGGACGGGGTTTGTTCCTAGCTCCGTCTTACAGCAGTTGGACGGGGCTGGGAAACATTTAAGATGGTGGCCTCTGGGGGCAGAGCCATTATCCGGACGGAGTTTGGGTGGGCGATGCCTGCTGGCATGGGTAATACTTTCTGTTACGTGGCTGTTCCCGGCTTCCTCAGCCGAGGGGGAGTTTGTTTATCTCTGCACACCTTATAGATAAAGCCTGTGTCAGGGGGTGGAAGAGGGACAGGAGCCATGTTACAGATGGGTTTGACACCTGGGTGCTGTGGGGAGCTAGTGCAGGACTGCGGTGGTGAGGACGTGACACGTTCCATCTCCTTTTTCTGTCAGGCTGTATCTCTCCATATTGTCTCCAATGGGAATAAATCCTGTTCATACTTCTCCTATTCTTTGCAATTTATCAAGCGATAGTCATGTAAATCTGATGCGATTCTTGTGTCTCAGCTGATTGTGGGCTTCTGAGAAACAATACAGAAAATGAGGAGGGTGTTGCTAACTTCAGCAGCAGTAAGGTGAGGCTGCAAGACTTATGTTGCCAATATATAGTCTTGGGACGTTGTCCAAGTTTACAGCTCCTTATGCAATTTCAGAGATAACTTGTGTTAGAGCTAGCATAGGTTCCAACTTCTGCCAGTCTTTCTCATGACCACTGGAATTTTAACACCTTTGTTGGCAACACGGACGGTGGTGAGTTTGCTGCCAATGCCAAGATGCGTGGTGTGATGGAGGGAAGGGAGAGAAGGATCCATCCAGAGGGACTGGGGTGATCTGGAGAGGTGGGACAGGCAAACCTCATAGAGTTGAACAGGGCCAAGGGCAAGGTCCTGCCCATGGCAATCCCAAGCACAAATCCAGGCAGGGTGAGGAGTGGATGGAGAACAGCCCCAAGGAGAAGGACTTAGGGGGTGTTAGTGAGTGGAAAACTGAGTATGACCCAGCAATGTGTGCTGGCAGCCCAGAAAGCCAACAGTGTACTGGGCTGCACCCAGAGCAGGGTGGGCAGCAGGGCGAGGGGGGGGATTCTCCCCCTCTGCTCCACTCTCAGGAGACCCCCCTGCAGGGCTGGGTCCAGCTCTGGGGCACCAACAGCAGAAGGACATGGACCTGCTTGAGCAGGGCCATGAAGATGCTCAGGGGGCCTGGAGCACCCCCTGTGAGGACAGGCTGGGAGAGTTGGGGGATTCAGCTGAGGAAGAGAAGGCTCTGGGGAGATTTTAGAGCAGCCTCCCAATACTTGAAGGGGTCTACAGGAAAGGTGAGGAGGGACTCTTTATCAGAGGGGTAGGGATAGGGTAAGGAGTAACAGTTTTACACTGCAGGAGGGCAGATTTAGATGAGCTCTAAGGCAGAAATTCTCCCTTGTGAGGGTGTTGAGGCCCTGGCACAGGTTGCCCGGAGAAGCTGTGGCTGCCCCCTCCCTGGCAGGGCTCAAGGCCGGTTTGGACGGGGCTTTGGGCAACCTGGGCTGGTGGAAGGTGGCCCTGCCCGGGGCAGGGGGTTGAACTAGATGGGCTTTAAGGTCCCTTCCAACCCAGATCTTTCTGTGAGTCTATGATAAGTTGAAGTAATCATGCCAGACAGTAGTAATACAAAGGACGCTTACCAATACACAGGCTTTGATTTGTTGGTGGTGAAGTCTGATTCTCACTGGCTGTACACTAAGTTTAACTGCCATTTAACCTGAACATGGAAAATGATCATGTATTTTGTCTGCTTTTCCAATTAATAAGACATTTTTGCTGCCAGGTTTTGAAGATGAAGCAATAGGTGAATAGCATATAGGTGTTTTCTTTTTTCCCCAGATAAAGCAGAAACTTAAGAGGAAGGTAACTGAAATGGCCTCAAAATGCGCTACAGTGCTCTCCAGGGTATTTTTAATGAAATAATACAATCAAGTCCCGATTTTCTATGGGTTTTGTGAATTAAATCTTTCTGGCTGTTACCATTGCATTCATTTATAAATGAATTGTGAAGAAGAGAAGGTTAAGTGTATGTGGAATTAAAAACAATGTAGAAAACCACGTTTCTTTATAGAAAATTAAATTGCATGCCTAGACTCTCATGGTTAAGCAGTTCCTCATATAAGTGGTTTCATCAAAGCACTTTTCAAGCGAGTAAAGGTCTCCCAGTATTAGCAAGGAACTGACAATATGACCTGGAATGATGGATGAACAATACGCTATAGAAGTAATATGTAGTTCTTTAACCTGATACATATTATGGGCAAAATGATCACTGCAGGTTGTACAGACAGCTATAAACATGCCCTCGTACTCTGCATAGTTAAGAATATAAATTAAGCCTCATCAGGCTTCCAATTTAAGGGCAGGAAACTCGGGTAAATAAGTTGTGTACTGTCATCACACGTGCCTTGTCTTCTCCTTTTCTTGTTCACGCTCTGACATTTGATTCTACACCATAGACACAGCAAGGATTTTCCAGCCATATAAAAAAGATAAACCAAACTAAAGCTGATGCTCCTCCGCCGTGGTGTTTCCTACAGTACTTTAGGAATTTTATTTACACCTAGGCACGCATATTGTTTTTTCTCCATGTTCATCTTTTGAAAGATCTGAGAGAAGACACTATGGCCATTTTTAGATGTCTGGGTGAATTTTGTTTTAGTGGCCCTAGCCAGGGACTGTGTGTATGCTAAGAGCACAAATTTTAACTTATTTTGAGATTTACTTTCTTACATTATGACATCAAAAAGACAATCATTGAAAACAAGCCCACAGGCAAACCAGTCTGCTGGGTAGGGTGGATTGGGAAAAGCAAGGCAAAGTTGACCTCCTGAAGACAAAATTGTATTCATGCAGCTCCTTCCAACGTTGAATTGCTTGCTTGGAATGAGGCTGCCCCTTCGCTGCCAAAGCTCAGGGTGTTGGCACGAGTTTTGCAGGCCAGCAGAGAAAAATCTGGGCTGTCTGCACCTCTGTTGCTGTACACAGAAATGACGGACTTTAAAGAACATAGCCTTGACCAGTCCACAACTTTCTCTCTTAAGGAGTTTTCTAAATGTTTATAATTTAGTGGGATTTTCATGTAGTTACTCATTTTTCTTCATCCTACAGCTATGCCGAGTCCAGATTCTGCTTTAGTTTGGCTTCCAGCTTCTTTTGAAGTCCATCATAAAAACTTCCATCAAAACATGCCTTAGTATAACATGCAAATGCATCGGGCCCTAGAGCATCCTTTCAGAGTAGATGTATTAATAAATAGAATGTTTCTCTGCTGCCACTGGGGTAGAGGATGTAATGGAGTCTGCATTCCTTAAGCAATATGGGTTTCTATTTAAAAAAGGAATACATTGTAAAGAATTCCATCAAACTGTTACAGCTTGGTCTGCCCATTGGCAAGAAGTTCACACACTTTTTTAATTTAAATGTTACCTGTTTACTTGGCTTTTTGAAGACAGAATACTTCTCTACCCCTTTTTGTAATAGAGATAGTTGTAGAACAGTATTCATATAAGACTGTTACCAGGGTTATATTTCAAAGATGTGTTTTCATTCTATTTTTCCAATATTTTAATTTATAGTTTTGGAATGGAAACATAAATTTTAAAAGGATATGTTTGGAATGAGGTCATCTTAATTCCCCACGAGTCAAAACATTATTTTCCAAGATGAAAACTGTGAAATAAGTTCTTGAAATATGATGTATTTTCCAAATCTTGTTTAATTTGATATAATGTTTCTTGGGGACTGTTCTCACAAAGATTTTAAATTTTTTTCCTCGTTGTTTTATATAATGCTTTAAACTATTGTTAAGATTTAGGAATGTGCTTAAAAAGTTTCAGTTGTCTCTGGGAAAAATAGTCTTAATTTATGTTGACCTTTCTTTCCTTTGAGCATTTAGTCTGCATTCAATAAAATTTTGATGACTGCTCTTTAGAAGACAGCTGTACGATATAAAGTATTATAAATATTCAGCTTTCCTCTTCTAGCGTTGCCATTAACAGCTGGGCATCCAGTTCAGCAGAGCAGATTTTGCAGAGAGAGCTTGGCATGTTCCTGAATCAGTATAGTGAAGAAGACTAGCAAATAGTTTCTTAGGGTTTGGGGACCTGTAAAGACATAGAGCATCTGTTCCCCAGTTAAGTCATAGTCTGGTAGCACTGAATCATGTTAAGAGCTAAAATGATGGGAAGAACTACTTTTTTCACCTTGGCTGTACCTGTGTTTTAAATGCCTAATACATTATTTCTACTAATGGCAAAATAATTTCAACCCTTGCTCGGAAGGTATGTAAATGATAATGCTTTTGCATTTTTACATTGTTTAGAGTTTTTGAGAAAGAGACAAATATACAGTGCGATTTCACTTCAGTGTCTTGATTTTTATCTCTAGTATAAAATGGAGAATGGGATTTTCTTATGCAAACACTTTATCCTTCTAAACAAGCAACGTTTTTGTTACACGGTATTTTAATCAGCTAATGTATTTGCCTTGGATGCGATTAGTTTTCTTGTGTAGTATGACAAAATGTGAAACACGAGAAAGAAAAATGTCTTTAAAATTACAGATTATAGACCTTACTACCAGAAATCTTTGTGTCTAGATGACCATAAAACTTGTCCATATTTTTCTCTTGCAGAGTTAAAAGATCATTAAAGTTGGACACTCTTAAAAAAGATACTGTAAGTATTTTTCAGTGTATGAAATCATCTGGGCTATATATATGTGTGTATGTGTATATATAGGTATCTATATGCACACATATTTGCATATATAAACATTATACTTCATTAGAGTTGCATTTATATTGTTACAGATTGGATGTTGTCTAGGAAAAACCTTACAAGGCAGAAAATTACTGCGGAAAAAATTAGTATAAAATTTATTGTATTCCATTTGTCGAACTGCCTGGCTTTAAGTAATGTACACCTGCATGAATCACTTGAAAATAACGAAGAAATATGCATATTTTTATTGCCATCTCTATTTACCCAAGAGCTGAATGAGTTAAGAGCCTTGGTGAAATCATTTATTAGAAATTAGCTCCATTATCCTGGAAGCAAATGTTCTGCCATGTAATTGTACATGTAACAATATGGAATTATGATAATGCTGTAATCTGCATATTATAAACTGCAAAATTGAAATGAAAACATTAAAGGCATTTTCATGTCAAGGATATAATTACCTCCCTCAGCTAATCTGGCATAATGAAACAATAAAGTACTAACACTGCAATAAATTTCACCACAGTTATCACAATAAAAATAAAATTGTACTGTTGCTATTATTTTTTGTAAATGCAGCTATAGTATACTCCCAGCACCAGCATGTCATGACATATGTCAGTTTATTATCTGTTCCTACCAACAGTGGGTGTTGCTGCAGACATCAATACAGAGGAGCTTGTGAGGATGGCAGTGTTTAAAGAAAGGAAAATTTTGGGAAAGCATTTAGACAGAAATAGCTGGTCAGCAAACGAACTCCCAATAAATCTCCACGTCTGTGTCATTTGGAAGAGATTTTTTTTTTTCTATGCAGCACGTATTTGGAGGTCTCCCTGGTATTTAGCAAAATAGAAGTTTGCGATTTTAAAAATTATCTCACTACTTTTTTTCTTTTTTTTTTTTTTTCTTTTTAAATTTAAACAAAGGTGGCAAAATACCGCAGTGGCACTAAAAAAAAATCATTAGCAATTTAATTAGCAGCTTAGTGTACCATTACCCAACTTGTTCTGCTCAGAATGCAGCTGTGACTGTAATTTTGCATCTGTTTCTTGGGCTGTAGTAACGTTTTTGTAGATGAGTGGTCCAGCTGAAATTACACACAGTTCTTTTTGTGCCTTAAAGCTATTCTTTCCCTGCCCCCTCCCCATAAGATAAAGAGTTACTTGATGGTTACCTGCATCCAGGTTCTTGTGCAGCAAAAAGCCCATCTGAATGATAAAAACTTTTGCTAAAATCTCAGTACTGTAGGTTTACATTATGATTTTTAGTTCATACAATGCCTCTGACAGATACATGTCAAAGTTTTAAAGTGTACCATAATTAAATAACACTATAGAAGCTAGGAAGGAATGTAAGGTAATAAACACACATGGTTTGTGTGAAGTATCTGAGTGTGAACATAGACTACAAGTGGCACAAGAAGTGTCTTCAAATGAAGGACATTAAAATCAGGATATTTTACTAAGAGTTTAGTAGTGAAGAGCAGCAAAAGGGTACAAAAATATTCTTTTTAGAGGGGTTATTGAACGTTCTTTATACTTTTGTATAATCAAGAGGAATTTTATTTAATCAAGAGGAATTTAGTAATATTCTAACAGAGACTTAGCATTTGTATGACACGTTAACTTCTAGAACTCATCCTGAAATTTTGGTGAGGTCAAGAACGTAATAGAAGCTGTAATAAAACCAGACATAACAAGAGTATGCATATCCATGTAAGTGTGAAAAGCAGGAGTATTGTGCTTCAAGACATTTAAATCAACTGTTAACTGGGAATTGAGAAGAAAACTTCCAAGGATTACATAATTGTCCGTTATACTTCTAGGTGCAATTTTTATTCCTACTTTTGTATTTATTGCCTCTGTAAATGTATACTTTTTAGAAGCAGTTTCCTTATAACACCTCAATAATTTAAGACTACTTTTGCTCTCCCCAGAGCAGACCTTTTCCCAGAGCATGCAAGAGATTCTGGTGCTGAGGAACCCTTACTGAACCTCAACATTTGCATGCCCTTTGTTTAATCTGGTTTAAAAAGGAGTAGCATGAGGGTCTCATTCCAGAAAAACAGGATAACGTACAATTAGGAATGAAAAGGGAATGATTTACTAATTTGAAATTGCAGTGGAAATGCCATTTACCAAAATGCAAATACCAGCTTGACAGATTAATTTTTTTTAAACTTTCCCCAATTTGGTGTGTGTTATTTTAATGAATATAAACTCCAGATCCTCACCTTGTATTTCATTCATGGTACTGAAACAGTGTAATATGCTTACCTATTACACTTTTTCTAACATTATTAATGGAACAATAAATGGAATTTAAGGAGATTACAGGATAATCGTGTACAATAAAGCTTCTAATGAAGAAATACTGTATGAAATCGAGTGACTGTTATGAGTGACATGAAGACAAATGGTAGATAATTCAGTTTTACAGATGGAGTGAGGCTCAAGTTGGTGGAAAAGGCTGGTTGTTTGGCAAGTGGATGAGTTATTCCTTTGCTTGTTAGAGTTCCAGAACTAGAGATAAATGCATTTGCTCCTCAAACTCAAAGCCCCAGGATTGTAACAATGAAAAAATAAAGAAATCTCGTACTCTGTTTTTCTGTGAGATTTGCTTTGATGATATAGTGTTTCCAAGAAAAAATCCTGTAGCCACTTGATCAGTGTGTGTCTCCTTTTGTCAGTCATTGATGGTGTTATTCAAAGCTGCTCGACTTCTTAGTTGGAATCAAGTTGTTGCTCGATCTGAAGCCCTTTCTGTGCAAACAGTGTGGTTTGGTTTTGGTTTTTTTTCTTTTGTATATTAGTAGTGTGGTGAAATCCCAGTTGCTCAGAGTTGCAATTCAGAATCCAATCTAGAGAGTGAACTCTGTCCCAGATAATCCCGGTTAATATTTCAGAATTGCAGACTAATTCTTCTGAAAATTTCTCTGTCAAATTTCTCTTACAGTATTAAATAACTCCTTTTATATCATTAGACATACCAAAATCATAAACCAGAGACAAAACTTTGTATTTAAGGGATTCACTTGTTGGGTTTTTTATCAACACTTGTTTAGAAAATCATTGTTTCGAAAATCATTATAAATAATTCTTTTAATAGAATTAAAATCTGAAAATAGTTGCTTATAGTTCATGTGTTTGAGTTCTTAATACTGTAGGAAAAATAATACCAGGTTTTGACTGCTTTAAAAACAAACAAAAAACCCCCAGGTGTTCATGCTGGAATACCTCTCTGGAAGCCACATACTTTATTTTTAATGCAAGATGGGAAGCTAGTGTTTGAAGGGCTGTTTTGTTTGCGGGTTTTTTTGACTAAAACTAATGTTAATGAGAAGAGGGAGTAATAAAGCAGCTTGGTAGGCACCTGGCAGCCAAGCAAAGGTCAATCCACCACTACATGGGCTTTCCATAAATGGGAGTACATAAAGTTAGGAATTACTTCGAAAAATCTATTACCATGTAGTAAATGTTCAGAGAGGCTTTGTCTGCTTTTGGGTGCAATATGTAACTCTACTGATAAAAAAATGTTGAGGCCAGAATATATTTAGTTTACAGAAGGGTGGTTTACAGCTGTTGTAGGTTGAGGGACATAGGTACTACTTTATCTTTAGCCAGTATTCATCTAGATTCTTTGTCTCTTGCTACATTTTAGCTACCTGGTGAAACACCCTTGAAGACCAAAAGTAATCTAAACGCTTACTCGCCGACAACAGGAACACGCCAGATGAGTCCGTTTTCATCTCCCATGACTCATAATGCACAGAATCCCAGAAATGACCCATCAAATGGTTAGTTGAACGTTCTGTCTTTCTTACTGCAACATTTTTCCGATGATGGCTTGATTTAGTAAGATGTCTCATGTGGTACGTTTGATTTCTTTTCCCTCTTAAAGAATTTTAATCTCTTGGAAAAGCTGATGTTGATTTTTAAAGCTCGAATCTTTTTAGTATAAAACTTGGGGGTGTTTATGAAACAGGTTTTGCTTTCTGTTGATCAGTATTTTAAAAGTTTAACTTTGGCTTAGCAAAAAACCCTGCAGTAGCATTTTTTTTGTCAATAATTCCATTAATTCCACTGGTTAGGCATGTTTATGCTACCAATGTCCTTCATTTCCTTTCTTTCTAAGTCCCAGCTTTCATTGGCAGAACTGGTACGTGCTACTGGAAGTGACTTTGTCAGATTATATGTGGAGATGTTCTTCTCAGCTCTGAGTCTTTCTCTATGATTATTGAAAGTTATGTAGATTTTATCAAATCAAAGGAGGTTCAATTAGTTTAACCCTTTTGCATTCTTTTATGTAATTTTTTACTATTGTTTTTTTGTAGAAAGGCACTTCAAGGCAATTTTTAATTAATCGAACATAACACTGAATGTCATTAGCTCTCAGAAAATATGCCTATGCCTTTTTATCATTATATTATTTCCAGTTCCCTTTAGGATATGTGCCCGCTTAGTTACACAGTCACAATTTTAATGCAAAATATGACTGTTCAAGAAGTATATTTTCAGTAGACTAACCTGCTTTTATGTCTATATAGGTTGTGGTCTTCATAAGTGTTAAGGAGCCATTAGGTCACCTGGTGTGACTTTTTTATATTAAAAAAAAAAAAATACAGAGACTTTCTTGTTACCTTTCCTACATAGAGCCCAAGAGCTTTCATTTCCTCACAGTAAAAATCCTGGAAAGATGGTTAAGTCTTGTTTGAAAACTTCAAATTATTTAAATAATAATAATAATAATAATAATAATCCATCACTTTCCTTGTTAGCAAGTTCCTTGTTCAATTACCTTCACTATTAAAAAAAAAAAAAAAATCTCCCGTCTGATTTTGAATTTGTCTGGCTTTAATTTTAGCCATCAGTTCTTGTTATGCCTTTTTGTTGGGTTAAAGAGCTTTTTATGCCCCATATATTTTGGAATTTATGTGCAGTAATTGAGGCCTCACTAACATTCGTGAATTATGATGAGTAGAAATATTCTGAGCAGGATAGAATAACCCCTGTTTGAAATTTATCTAGATGTCTGCAGATTTTTGCACTAGTTATTGCACCATATGCTCTCATGATGGATCTGCAAAAGTGGATTTTTCCTCCAGGAAAAAAGGGATTTTTATCTTTTTTAAAGGAATGCAATCAAGAAATTTTGGGATTTTGTCAAAGCTGGCTGACCAAAAAATTAAAATTACTGGAAGCCTTCAAGCTGAAAATACTACAATCTGTGAGCATTACATCCCTTTTCCTTATTAGAAATAGCAGAGTACTTGAGGAAGCATGGAAGTACCAGGTGTTCTGGTGGCACTATAGCCATGCATAGTTACAGACCTGTGTGCAGAGATCTGGGTTTTTTTTTCCTAATTAGTAGTCATGCTAGGAAACTAAACAGAACCAGCAGTATCCTAATTCTTTATCATGCTGCCAGTCTTCATTATGACCTGGCTTTGTGTCCTTGCTACCTGTTTGTCAAACAGTTTTAACACAGTTGAGTTTTCCATGAGCACTCACTGCCAGTCAGAATATTCACAACTTTCCTACCAAGTTCTCTGCTGATGCCAGTTCTCCCCAGAATAGCTGTTCTCCACCTCTGCTGTGCTGCTGAATTGGGCATTTGCCCCTGGGACTAGTACAAACCCAACTGTTTCAACCATTAACATTCCAAGAAGCCTTTGGAGGAGGAATTATACTAATTTCTCCTCATTGTTTCAGTGAGTGATGGTGTGTCTCAACTAGTTGTGCAAATCTGCTATATTGAAAGTTCCTGTATTCTAGAACACCTTTGCCTTCACAAAATTGAACGTATATGCAGCTGATGTGTGTTTAATTTTGTGGCCTTTTGAGAACTGTATTGAGATTTGCAGTGAAAGGTCTGGTTTATGTACTTCCTGATTCGGGATGGAGGGAGCAAGTCTCTGTCTGCCAGAAAGTAAGGACCTTTGCCACAGTGCCTGCCCCGTTTTGTGAACAATTCCTCCTCTCAAAATTAATGGCTGCTTCTCGATTCCTAAAAAGATAATTATTTGGCACGGTGAATATCTCCACACTCCTGCTTACTTCACATCCAGAAATCTTCACTGGCATTTAATCATCCCTTTAAAGTAGACCACTGCATTCTTAAAAGACTATAACAATTTCTCTTTGAGATTATTTTCCTCATCAGCAAAGTTGCTTCAAGCATTGTCTTATGTATTCCCACAGATATCCGTGGTTATCTGTTGAATTTTCTCCTTGGAGTTTAAACCAAGTTAGACAGAGGTCTAACCCCACTGTTTTCCAATTTCTTTCTTACTGTGAAAAGTAACTCTTCCAGTGAGCAGCATTCTGACTTTGTTAGGGAACTTGAAGTCTTTGACATGTAAATTTATCTATTCTATTTTTATACAGAGAGAAAGGTATTTTCAAAGTGTTCCCAGGTCAGATTTCTATGGCAGTCTCTGCTTTCATCAGTAAGAAGGAAGTTTTGTGTTTGCATGTATTAACTCCTAATACCAGTCTCAGGATTTGATGGTAATTCCTGGATGAAATGAAGAGCCTATGCATCTGTTCTGGTTGGGGTTTTTTTTCCCCTCATGGTAAATATGAAGCTTTTCATCCTGTAGAAAGAAACCTTTCAATGAGAAGAGGTGCCAGTAGGTGTTCTCTGTCAGATCAGAGATACGGCTGTTGTTCGTGCAATCAGTTGGTATGCCTGTACTGGCATCTGTCATGGAAAGGTCAGCTCATACCATACTTCAATTAATTGTTTTGTCATGATGTGACATCCTCCATTCTCGTCCAGAATGGATTCAGGTTCAAGCAAAGTGACTGCATGTTATACCAAGGCGCTGACGATCTGAATTAAGATTGCCTGTATCCTGAAGGAAGAATCAGATTAGAACAACCTATATCCACACTGACAGCTGGAGGCACTGGGAGCAGTAAGCTTTCTGTTAGTGTCACTGCATCACAAAAGCAGTCCTGAAAAAAACCCAGCTATTATGTATAAATGCAGATTTTAATTCTGTGGCTGTCTGCAGAATATGAAACTATACCTCAGCCTGGCAGGATATCCACCTGCACTTTAACACTTACCTTTGCAAAAATCTCTTAAAATTGTATATAATTATATCAGTCGGATACAAAATTTAAAAATCCTATACCTCTTTAGATATGTTCTCTTGAATATCCCTACATGTTTGTAATTACCTGCTTTAAGACCTCTTCCCTTTAGTTTTAGCCAAAGCCTTTTTGGTGACACAAATGGTGACACTACACAAATGTTTAGATCTACTACAAGTTTTAAAACTTTTTCAGCATCTCTGCATTTGCATTACATGCCTTATCTCTTAGGTGAAAGAAAAAAAGGGGGCAAAATGTCTTGAATTAAAATGCCTGTATATTAGGATGTCAGTGGGAAAGGTGAACATGGGCTGTATTTCCATACTGATATTAAGTATGGATATAGGGGAACGTTCTTTTTGCCAATAAAAAGACTGATCACATGATCATAGCTGACATTTAGATGGATAATTACTCAGTAATGCAGTACTAGCCATCTTTTTTTTTTCCTGAGTTCATATAGCTACAAGATGGTGGTATATAAGACTTCCTCTTATATCACAGGTTTCAGCTTGTCCTTTTAAACCCACAATTTCTTTTCTCCTTCTGAAAAGACGCTTTTATTTTAAGTGTTGTAGGTGACCATGACTTTCTTTTGAATAGCAGTGTGGAGAAGTGCCTCAAAAAAGACTTAAATACCTACAGAATGCTAAGATTGTTCAAAAGTAACATTTATTTTAGGAAAAGAACCGACCTAATCATAAGTTAGTGTGTCTTTATGATGATGTTCTATGTATGTCCTGTTGGGCTGCCTGATAAATCATATATTGCCTCACTACCCAAAAATCTCACAACTCATTTATGACACAAATTTCTAAAGTAACAGAATACTAAATCTTCACTAGTTTCTCATCATTATCGGTGAACGTATTTTTAAGATTTATTTTAAATCATTTTATTTTTATTCAAATCAATCCAGGGTTCTGCCGTTCTGTAGTACTGGTCTGAAAGTAGTATCTGTTTGATAGCTGATGACTGATTTAAGCGCAAGTTCTACAACTACTTAGATTTAAAGTGAAATCTTTTGGGGTCTTAACCTTTAGCTACTGTAGTGGAACAGCTTAAACTTTTATAGCACCTTGTCATTCTGAGGTATTTCTAAATGTTTTACAAAATATTAAAATTAAAAGTTAATTTATCCTTGAGCGCTGATACTTGTGTGTAATAATTTAGATCTAGCAAGAAGAAATCAAAGTGTTTAATGCTTAGTGTGGCCTCTCTTTTTTAGTCTGATGTCAGAAAGGAGACGTATTACAGTGAAACGTGAAAAGCACCTCATTCCAGAGGGTCTGTTCTAGGATCAATGCATTTGTTAAGATCACAGTGAAGACCTGTTGTAGTTTCCTCCAAATCTTTCACTTAAAGGTGAATTTCACCTTACAATAACAGCTGTTCAATTCAAAGCATTTGTAAGAATGCACATGCATCTGTTAGGAGGGACAATAGATAAGAACTAATGTAGAACACCTTGTGAAATTTTTTTACACCAGAAAAAAAGATCTTTCTTGGGTATTGGATAGATGAGTATAGTCTGAATGGCTACAAGTTCAGTGAACTCTAGAGCTGAATTATTGGTGTGCAATTCTAAGTCACTAACTGTCAAATACACTAATGATCTCATTATTTAAGGAGAAAACTTCTCAGAAAAAAAGAATGACTGCATGATACCTCTCCCCCTTCATATGTATGCATACCCCTCCACCATTTTGTCTTTAATGAGTATCAGATCCAAGAGATCCATTGCACAGGAGAATAGAACCATGACCAAAAAAAGGGAGTTTTGACATTGCAGGAGGAAATGAGAGACTTGAGTACATGACTGATACTGTTGAGGGAGGAAACAGATGGAAGTTACAAAACCTCCATATTATATGATGTCTTCAGTGTCGGCCCCAATTAAACAGAAATCTTTTTTGCTATTCAGATGTGAGCTCTTTATTGCTGGAAGCTTGACAGATATAACACTTGGAAGTATTGAAAGGTGACCATATAGGTTGTGTGGAGCACAATGCCACAGATAGTTACGGCCTCCCTAGTTTCAGTAGATTCACCCAAGACTGTTGTACTGTGGGATCTTATCAGATGTGACAGTACATACTATTTTTTTAAGTATTAGTTAGGAGGGATGCAGTACTTTTTTATGCTAGTACATCACTCTCCTGATATGCTAATTGGAGGTCAAGCAGAATGGAGAAACTAAATGTACTGACTTTAAAAACAATAGTAATCGATACACAAGATAAAATTTCAATCTGTTTTTGTTCTAACATGAGTTCTCTCTGAATTGTATAGGTTGTGGGAAGTTATGTAGATTTAAATTCAGAAAGTCTTTTGTGGTCAGAGGTGTTCTGTTCTACATAATGATATACATAAGGAGGCCTTTGTAAGTAAGTGGCTGTTGAGTAGAGAGCAGCCAGTGAGCCAAAGATGGTATTTTAGGGCAGCACTAACTTTCTTAATCTAATCAGCATCACTGAAAACATCCCCCTGTCCACCTGGTTTGGGAGAGCAGTCTGTGTTAGACATTCATCTTGGAATCTGGTCATTTAAGAACGCCCAGCCTACAGTGACAGAAAGGCAGTTCACCAACGCCACATGTGAGCCTAGGTTTTATTAGTAAATCCATGGGAATGGACTTTTGTGGTAATATCCTATTCCTCTTTCCTCACAGAAACGTGCAACTGCTCCAAATATCAGTGCGCTGAAATGCAGAAATATGACTCACCAGGCAGAATAATGGCAACTGGCATATGATTTAGCATGCCCCATCATATGACGAGCTAGAATATTCTATTGTCAATATAGCATGTCAGATCTTTTGAAAGTAATTTGCAGTATCTCTTTGTAGTTATTTACAAGATGGAGTTGGGGGCCAGGCTTTTTATTAAAGGAAAATAGAGATTTCATTGCTCAGTCGTTACAGTATTTTCGTGATAATGCCCTGGGCTAATATACTGTCTTTAGGCAGTTAATAGGGTAAAAAGATTTCTGAGTAGAACACTGTAACTATGTGTCAGAATTATACTAACTTCCAGTTATTAATAATATAATCCCGAGGTTTCCACAAACATAAATGTAACGTGAATTGATGAGAGGTCAAATTACAAAAGAGTGAATTTGGTGTGTTTCACTACGAGGGAATCTCTCCTACTTCGTAAGTGAGGTTTGTTGGGGGTTTGTTTGTCTTCCTAAAAGATCATTCAACAGTCAAGGTTCATACCAACACCATTTTCGTGTGCTTCACATGCTCAATATTTTCATCTTTATTGTTTCTTTTCTTTCTTACAAACCTCCTAGGAGACAAAATTGAAGAGGACGATTCAGAAAGCAGATTATCCAGAAGAGGGCAGCCTCAAACAGAGGAGGATGCGTAAGTGTATGAAGTGCTTGGTGTGTGCAGCAGCACTGTGATTTTTCACTTAATATTTTTTTACTACTTCTAATTCCACAGGATTGGATATTCAAAGGCAGTGAATGGCAGATTTACAGTCACCCAATTATTAATTACCCAGATTAATGCAGGGTTTGCAATACAGCTGCCCAGGCAGGTCTTTGGCTTCCCAGACTCTTCTGAAAGTGTACATTCTTTACCTTATTTTTGGAAACATTACCTGCCAAAGATACAAGGCCAGTAATGCGGGACACTGTTTGATTAAAAACTAGCCACAGATGGTCATGGTGAAACCTTGTGTTTGCTTTCCAAAGTCTTTTAAAATTCTTGTGTTTTCTGCCACAATCTTATTTTAAGCTATAAGCTTCCTGACATTAATGAACTTTGGGAAGTCCACAGTTAGTAAAACACTTGAATGCTTCAGGTGAGGTATCTGATAAACTGCTTTCCTAAACTTGATAGACGTGAGGAAGGAGAAGTGGTAAAATGTGTTAGAAGTAAGGCTGCTAGTGTCTCATGTTGTTAGTGTGGCTTGATTTTTTTCTGTTATAAAGAACATTTAATTGTTCGTAACATTGCCAAATCTCAGCTGAAAAGTGAACCGAAATTTTCTGTGCCAACAGTGCACTCAGGCTGAATGTGTTATGTATTTCAGCCGAAACAAACACGTCCATCCCTAAGAGTTAGACAAAGGAAATATTAGTTTCATTTATGATAGAACCAGGTGAAAAAGTAGAAAGCTGTGAATCTCTGTAAGTTGGATTGTATCGGGGATGCCTTTCATCTTTAGGGGAAGTTACCCAATTCAGAAATCCTGGAAGTTATGAGGGTTTTTAATATGGAAGTTGTATATGCTCGGTAAAACTACTCTGAGTTAAAGCTTTAGTCCAGCTAAAGTTTCTTTCCTCAGTGAGCATGTTCATACTTCATGCTGCTAATACAGTATTATCCTACATAGTCCACCATCCATTTCTGTCCTTTTTACTCAACTGAAATTGCATTCATCAGAGACTCTTGTGATCTCTTAATAGCAAAATCTTAAAAAAAAAAAGTAAATCTTTATTCTCATTCTTTTTCAACACTGTCTGCATTTTTGTTCTTGAAATCTTTTTATCCTGTTGTGTTGTCCTGCCTTTTTATTTGATGCTTCAGCTTGTCCTGTAGTGGAATCTTTACATACATCTTTGAGATATATATATATAGAGAGAGAGAGATAGATAGATAGATAGATATAGATATAGATATAGATATAGATATATGAAAGATATGTGTATATATCTTTCTTTCACCAAGAAAGTCTAATTCACAGCCCAGCACCAGCCTGGCTATACCACATCTCTCCTCTACAACATTTTTTTTTTTTTTAAATTGTTCTGTGTAACGTGACTGTCCTGTATTTCATTCAGGCCGGGTGCTTGTACATCCAATTCAAATTGTTACCTAAATTCTCCTGTCTGTAGATCCAGCACATTTTCTCTCCAAAATCTGAGGTGCATTTCCTGTTACCCTAGTTTGTCACTAAGAGCTCGCCTCTCAGTGTAATGCAAACCTCCCACATATTTCTTTGTTGGGCAGTTTCTTTGTACTTTCCTTGTGTTCCTGCTTCTGACAACAGGTCACACTACAAGTCCTGTTGATATTGAAGGCAGAGTGCAGCTGCTGTGCTGCAGTTTGTGTTACTGGAAGAAGTATCACCATGCTGGTGCAGTATTCATGCAGGCTAGTTAACTGACATTAAAGAGTTGGAGTTTTGTACGTGAGTGCGTTTCTTTCCTCGTATGTATACGTTGATTTTGTTATTCTGCTTCTGTATTCTGTCATATGTCTTAAATATTTGTATCACAATTGTACCTGGAGTCCAGAGAAAAATTCCCTTGGGGCTAGATATTTTATACAGACAATTCTTTTTTACTAACAAGTAATATTTGTGACATTTATTCAACTAAATATTATGTTTCTTATGCTTGACGTTGTAGCTCTTCCTTTTCATTACTGCACTTGAACTCTCAATGTGTCTGTCGTTTTTTTTTTCTTGTAATGGATGCTTTCCACCACCATTAGCTTGAAATTTCCTCATTGTAGGACAGTAAGTATCTTCTACATGTTGGAGCTTGACAAATAGAATTGTCTGGATGGCAAGTTAGATAGTAAAAAATAAAGTCTTACAATTATACCAGTGAAGATCTGTAAATTGATTAACTGGAGGGTTTTTTGTGGTTCAGTAAATCCCTTGGTTGCTTCTTAGTGATAGTAACCTTGATTTGCAGAACAATTTGAGTAATCTGTAGTCTTCATTGACATGTAAATGTTTGCTTTCAATAATTCAGTATCTTTTTTAAAAAAATTACAAGATTTGCAGAAGACTAGTGGTTAGTGACATGCCAGTAAAACACATTTGTAAACTTAACACCTACACAATAGTATTCAAGTGAACTTTTATACACTTTACTTTTACAGGTGGAAAATATATTGTATAATACACTGACCTTAGCATTTTCTTTTCTGCGTAGCCTTCTGTTCTCATGTTGAAATACAACAGTGATAAGTTTTTCTCATACTGTAGTTCGCTTTCTAAATTTGAGGTTTCTTATAAGGGTGATTCTCCCTTTGTGGAAGGAAACAGTAAGTAGATTATTCTGTTGTCTCAACTTTGCATGTTTAAATGGTTCAAAGAGAAAATAGCCTGAACAATCACTGCAGGAATTTTTTTTTCAGTACATATTCATGGAAAATCCTTAGTCATGCATTAAAATCTGCATTAAAATCTGCCCTTTAGATCTGATCTGATTGTTTATTATTTTAATTTTTATTGCAAACCCCAGTAAACTCTGAAAGCTGACCATCTTTACACTGTTAGTAAAACGTATTTGTGGCTTAAAAGGAGAACTAATACAACGAAGCTGACCAGCTGCCATCATGCGATGTTGTCCCTGTTGGGCTCAGCTTTAATTTCTCACGTTTCCTACAGCTACAAGCAGTGTCATACGGTCTTAACAGTCCATGGGTTTGGGGAGCTCATCCTCTTGATTAAATTCCTGTTCTTAGGAACAAATGAGTTAAATTCCTGTTTTTACCATTGTCTTCCCGCACGATCATAAGACATCCTCTAATATTGCTAAACCTGATTTCCTAGCCTTAAAATTAGGATATATGTAATTTTGGCAGTTTGCATATAAATCCTAACCAAAGGCAAATTGTATTTGGTGTTGTATGACACAGTCAGGTTGTACAGCCCATCTGTTCACAGCTTATCTAGATCCATCCTGATTACAATGTGAAGAAACTCTGGGAAACATTGTAAACACTGATTTTCAGCAAGTGGGGATGCGGCTAATTGAAATTGTTTTAATTTTTCGTGCAGGTACCTGAAATTGCAGTCCAAAGTGACAAGCTCATTGGTTAGAATTGCGAATATAAGAGCAAAACTGACAAGCCTACAGGTCTGGTTTACGCTGATTTATTTTCTTTAATCTACTTTTAATATAGGATTTGAAAAACGAAAAGAAAATTTTATATGCAATGTTTAAGTTTTAAGGAATAGGGAAGCAAATAAAATACTTGAAACCAGGCAGGTTTGACCTGGAGATCAAAAAAAACCCAAAACAAAACAAACAAAAACCACACAGAACTTAGTAGATTTAAAAAAAAAAAAGCTAGAAGAGGTGCTCTTCCAAGGACACCATTTTTAATTTGTATCACTCCTCGTTTTGTACACGATTAAAAACATATGAAGTAGTTATCAACTGTTATTTATAACTTGAAGTATGAATTATTACTGCATATTTTTCTGTCCTTGAAGATTAAATATCCCTTTGTGTTGAAGTGATTGTACTATTTAATTTACCACTAATGTATCATCATTTAATAGTCTGTTTAATATGTGCTAAAATGCAAATCGCTCTTCTGTTTTATTCACATTTTGTTTCCTGAATAAATTTAGCACAAGGCTCATTGCTGTGTATCAATATCTGAGAAATAATTCAGTGTACTCCAAGTATTGTATTGATTTATTTTACTTGCATATGATCTGGCAAGGTTTTATTTACCAAAAAAAGACTAATTTATAATATTTTAATTCAAGTGTTTATTTAGAAAACCCTATTGAAAAATCCTATTTCTCCGGAGATTGATAACGTATGGTTTTAGGTCTCCCCTGAAATGCTGAGGAGTGTGTTCCATAGAATCTGAACTGCACGTAGATTTCCATTTTACTGACATATTAGAGCAGGCTTGTACATGTGCCAAGATTGCTTTTCTGGGGATCAAGTGTTAATCTGTTTAAACAGCTGAAGACTTACGAGTGAAGCGTAAATAACGGGAGATTTTTAAGTAACACTTTCAAAGGCACCTGAATGCCATTTTCAAAAGTAATGTATATTCTTACGCCCTTAAACTTCTTATTCCCGTTGGCTTTCTCTGAGGTGGAGCCTCACGCATCGTTTATAGCTTATGAATAAAATTCCAGAAGTTCTTTTTTTCAGATGTTTTTAATAAGTTATAGACATCTAAGTAGGTAGTTTTGGAATGATTTAATAATGTCTTTAATCATGGTTTGTTTGGTTGTTTTTTTTTCCAGGCTTTAGAGGGCAGTAGAGAGCTTGTAAATATTGATGTCTCCGACTTGCCTTGCATCTTGAGTGATGAAATGCAGAGAACCCAAGAGCTAAGTAAGGAGGATTTTCAATATTCATCCTTTTTATAACAATTTAACAATGATCAAACGTTTCCTCGAGTCCTGCCCCTCTCTGTGTTAAAGTGGAATGTTACACCCCAGGACTCGGACATGTGAATTCTCTTGGTCAGGGCAAATGCACCTTAAACGTCGTTGTGCGCCCAACCAGGGACATAAAAGAGAGGCAACCCCAACGGCCCACTCTTCTAACTCGAACTCACAGATGGGCAGGAAAAACTTGCAAGAGCAACACCTTTTCTTATGTAAATAGTTAGATACTTAGTGGGTACTTAGCTAGTGATTAGGCTAAACGTTTGCACTTTGATTGCATTGCCTTTCTTCTCTTCTTGCAAGGAAGTTGTTTTGTTTGTTTGCCTGTTAGGAGGATTAGGCTGAATATAGGTTTCCAGGCTTTAAAAATTGCTATTCATGTGTCTTTAAATGATGGACATACCAGATGCTTGTTGTGTTGGGATAAGGGCACTTTACAGATGGCACATCTGTAATACTTTTCAAAGGGAATCCAGAAAGCCAAAGCTTTTCACTTATATGCCTCTAATTTTTAGTAAACTCTTTATACTTACTCCAAGCCAGAGGTTCTTGGGATGTGTGAATCCTCAGCAGCAAAAATGCATTCACACTTCCCTTTCCAACTGCCTCCGCAACTAGAAGGGCAGTATGTGATGGGGAAATATTCTAAAGCAAAAAACTTGCATTATGGATAATTGCAGGGAAAAAAAAAAAAAGTTATTGGCTTTCAGAGAGGAGAAATAAAGGTCTGCCTTACCAGGTCATTCCTTCAGAAGTGATGAAAGGTAGCTAGCAGGCACCAAGAGGCCCCAATCTTTGCCTCAGAACAGTTTGTTAATTTGTTTTCACAATAGGAGCACTTTTTATCTGTACCCATGTCACATGTTTGTGGTATAGGTGTGTGTCTAAAACTGCACTTACCTACCACTACTTCTCCTCTTGCATATGTAACATTGTTCTTGTAGACTTTTCATCCCAACCTCTGACCAGGGAATATGGATGTATACGTAGTCCCTGTGTCCAGTCTCTGGATGAGAATGCAAAGATGACAAAACAAGTTTCTTAAACTGCAGCAAATGTGAATTTTTGCCCGTACGCATTATTCTACAGCCTGTCTGGTTGCTCTGCTTTCTGCAGAGTGTAAAAACACTGGAACTAGGAACTAGCTATAGGAGAGCAAAGCCTAGGGTGGCTGGGACTGGTACTTTGTTTGCCGTTGGAAACGGGTGGATAGTAAAGCCCCAGGTACTCAAGAATTTTTCTTACCAAGGAGCACTGTGACTCTTCTCATGCATTAGGTGCATGTGCCTCAGCAGTGGAATTTATGCAGCACACAATTCCAGCAGGACTGTTGTTTAAATTACCATCTCTCCTGACTCTATTCCAGTGCTCATTCGGTTTTCATTTTGCATGTGTATACACTCTACTAGTTCCCACTATAATGCATATAACCAGTTGCTTTCTTATACAAAATGAAGTTTTGTGAAAATAGTCTGTGTTTACATTACTACCCTACACCGTGGCTAGGGCAGTAACGCTGCCCAAATAAGATGTCAGACATGTTGACATTTTCTGTTAGTCCACTTTGTTAGCTTCTTGTTGCTTTCAAAATAGGGAAGAATCATCTTTTCCCCCCATTCTCTGAATTAGGAACACCACATCAAGCACTAAAGGACAAAAATGGGAACAAAATGTGGTATAAGGCTTGTAAGTACCACTTCTCAAAATTATGTTAATTTTGAAAATTTTTTGTTCACTTTTTGGAGCACAATTACATAGGTAAGTGGTTTGTTGTCATCACTTGAAGAAAAAAAATCCAAATGCTTTGAAAGTGAAAAAGGCAGCTCAGGTATTATTTTCTTTGAAATCTCTGGGGCAACATTCACTGATTTCAGATTTATTTCTTCACTAGTGAGTCAAGCAGAAGAACTGCAGCTGTTGAAAAAAAACCATGGAAAACTTCCTGCCCAAGGTAAGAAACTTATTTTTATAACTCCTGTGTAACAGATGTTTTAACGATTCCTTTTAGTTGATTCCTCCTTGGTTCTGTCCACTTAAAATAAGTTGGGTAACTTTTAATATGTGAAAAGGATAATAATCAAATGTTTCTTCTGAAAACTTCTGCACTACTCAAATGTAATTTTCATCTTTTCTGCTGGTTTTCATTGTATTGGGTATTTCTCCATGAAACTGTGCAAGGAGAAGAAATCATTAATGGCCTTGCACTTGAGGTATGGTCTAGAAATAAGTGCAGTCAGGATCTAGAGAGTTTACATTCCTTTATGGATACCCATTATCCTTGTTCTTCCTCCCTCTCCTCCCTCCCCTGCATTTTCAGTGTATAAGCCAAGCAGCATACAGTCCTTGCAGCAAACCCTTTTTCACCTTCTATGTATTGTGATGTATTTAGCACACTCCAGGGGACTGTGAAATCCTAACTATGAGGTTTCTTCATAACTAGTGCTGTGAAAATATTTGAAGTTGGTGGCATTTAACATAGTGTGGCCCACATAGACACTTTAGTGCCTTGGCTAGCTGGGATGATCGGGGGGGGGGATACACGCAAGATTTATTTTATTCTTGCACACCCAGTAAAATCAACAAACATTCACCACTGATATGGTGATATTTCTGTTATCTTCATGCATTCTATCTTAAAATAGAGCAAAACCAGAATCAAAATCGGTGATGGCACCTCTACTGCTCTGTCTGCCAGCTCTCCCAGCCAGCAGGACTGCCTCCTGTCACAAGCAGCCCCTTTGATTTTGGTTGTATCCGCTCTTCCACAGGCTTAAATTCTTTTTGCTGTGGGGAATTCTCTTACGTTTGATCAATTTTTTTTTCCTTTAAGTTTTCTCAGCTCCAGCAGATTACCACAAAATGAAAAGGAGTGACATCACTTCTTAAGGAATTTGGCTCATTTGTGCAATCTGCTATTTGTGATTTACAGCTCCCTATGTCCTCCTGTTCTGATGAGCAGAGCCCCTCTCTGGCACTGATAACGGTGAGCGCCATGGGCCATTGCAGATTTAAACAGTCATTGCTTCCTTTGTGCGCTGCTTTTTAATGGTCACCAGGATATACATTTATAGTTCCATCTTTGCTCTGGAAACTAGCCCCTAAAGCTGAATGTATATCCAGTCTTGTTAGATGAAAAATTAGATATTTTGTGAAAGCAGGATGGAAAATAGAATTGTGAGTTTAAGTTGACCAATTTTGATGAAGTTTCAATGTCAGTTTTGCTTTAATAAAGAATAAATTCAGTTTTGCAGTCTTGTAAGTACAGTAGTAGGAGAAGAGAAGTATGTGATAGAAGAAAAGCATTTGGAGATGTTTTACTTTGCCTTTTAGTTTTGGATGTGGTTTTTCATAATTATTTTTAATTAATTATGCTCAAGACTTAAAACTTATGACTGTTCTGTGGCTTGATACAAACAGAATGTCACATTATCATCACATGGTGAGGCATGAAATTTATTTACTTTACACAAACAACCTCTACTTAAAACAACTTAATACAAAACATTCCCTGCTCAATGGGCGGCATTATGTAGAACTCAGTATATCATTTTGTGTGACCAGCATAAAAAATGGCATCATTGTTTGTCCATGACTAGCATTTACAGTAAACAAAATGTTTTTGAATAGAATGTAAGCAAACTGTAAAGCAACTGCCAAGAGATTAAATCTAGTCGGTATGTTGCAGTCCAAAACATGCTTTATGTGTGTTGAGAATAAATGTGTAGGTTGCAATATGTATATTTAAAAGGAAAATTTAATAGTTTGAGTGTTTCAAGGAGTGAAGATAACATTCTAAACAGGAAAGCTACTTAAGCTGGTTATTACAAATTATACTAATACTTTGCTTCCCCAAAAGAAAAACACTGACATAAATCACGTCCTTGACTCCATCTGCTGTCCAAGTAAGAAACAAAAAGAGTGTGTTACAGAAGATCAAATACTTGCAGCGATAAGGAAAACTATTTTCAGCCTGTATCTTGTAATGAAATAAAAAATACTTTCTTTTCTGTGGTGCTGTTCATCCAGCCAAGCCCATGGGCAAAGATGATCATCCCTTTAATTTCAGTTCTAAACATTCCTAACTTTCAGGCTGATTTTAATACAAGTGACTGAAGTTTTCACTCTTTGCGACAGTAGTGGTGGCTTTCCAAGAGACTAGATCAGGGTTAGCTAGATGGATTTTTCACTTGAAATAACAAATGAAAGCAAAGCTGGAGAGATTAGGGACCAAGTAATACCAAATTCCCCCTCGCCAATCCAGTTTTTTGAAGGCTGGCTATATATGGTGACACATCAAATCCCATTTCGGAAACACTGCAAAATATAGACGCCTCCTTAATAAGCAGAGTTCCTTCTCAAAACAGCTAAAATGGTAAGAATACAATATCCCACCATTTATCTCAACTCATGTCAGTTTGAGTTTGAACTTTGTATTGGTGTTTGTGTACAGGCAACTGAATAGCTCGGGTCTGGGCTGCTGGTGGGTTGCTGTGAGTGAGGGTAATTCCAGTTTACAATATATTTCTACATCATCCTCAAATGAAGTAGAATAAATTTGTTGCCCTTCGGACATACTCGGGTGTCTGTCTCCCACTTATATCTTTCCTCCTGCTTTGGGATCTTCTGGGGAAGAGGGGAATACATCAGACTTCAGATGTATGTTTTCAGGAACAGGTCTGTGGATTTTTCTGACTGTAAAAACATTAACCTAAAAAACATTTGGGGGTTTTTCTCAGCCCAATTTTGTATTCATTTGTAGGGAAGAAATGTCATTAAACCTTTTCTGGGAAAAGTAAGTCTCTTGAACTGGCTAAGCAGATGTTTATTAAGTGAACTGAATTAACTTATTCAGAAACTGTTTCTTCCCAGAGTTTCCATTCCTTGAGAGCAAACTGTCAGCAAATATTCATTTTTCAGGGAAATGATGAGATGGACAGAGGGTTGAACCTTGGTGTTGGGAAAGGCCTTTTTATGTAACAGGTTTGTAGGGCTCTTTTGTAAAGAGCTGACTGCAAGGATGAACCATACACTGTTGTTTGTGCAAGCCCCACTTCAAGGCATTTGTGATAGAGGCTTTTCTGAGATTCAGTTCTTCCATGTTTTCAATCTGTTTGGGAAAAGCTGCTAATGCTGACACAAACAGCAGTTCCTTAGTTTTACCAAGGTCCTTGCAGTTAAATCCTAGGCTTCTTTCCAGCAAAAGATCTCTCCAGCAGCCTTTTTGTGCTGTACATCATCTGTAAAAGAAAAAAAAAGAAAAAAAAAAAAAAAGAAAAAAAGATGATACTGAAGGACATTTTTTCAAATAGATTATTATTAGATGGCGATTTAGAGCTTGTGTTTGCAAGCAATACGCTTTACTTCAATTCTTAACACTAAAGGCCAGGTTTGGTGTTTTGCCACACATCAGAAATGTCTGCTCTAAGTTAATGCCCCTACACAGTGTTTGGAAGAGAGCTGATGGTCATCAGAACTGTCTTGGCCTAGTCAGACAGGCTGCAAAACTGAGAGAAATTGAATTAAGAATGAATATTTTCTGAAGGCCTGAAAATACCCTCTGAAGCCTGCTAATCCACTGCATTCAGGTTCAGTCAACCTCGCAGCGGAAAGCCTGTGTGCCCAAGGCTGCGTGGGCCAGAGCCGGCGCTTACACAGCCCAGATCTGTGAGGCAGGTGCAGTGTGGAGTCCGTACCTGCCTTACTCCAGGACAGAGAACCCTTGGGCCAAGACTTCTCGTGGCCAGAGGTGGCCCGGAGGGGCTGCAGCCTGGCAGCACTTTGCAGGATTTCCTCGAGAGCGGTTGCTGTGACTGGCATGACTTTGGCCCTGAAGGTGCTGGTGAACGGCAGAGGTTAAAGAGGGAGATTGTGCGCACATGCCTAGCTGGTAGATGGTTCCTGGGAGCTGAAACCAGCCGATGGAAATGAGTGTGCCCTCTGAGTGTTATGTGCTAGGTCGCTGCTGAGACAACTCCAAGAAATCATAACTTCGTTTATATGATGCTGGAGGGAGCCTTGCCTTGTTCATCTGCTCTTCTGTGTGGAAGATCAGAGAGTCATAAAATCCCAGACTGGTTTGGGTTGGAAGGGACCTTAACATCTAGCTCAACCCCCTGCCCCGGGCAGGGCCACCTTCCCCCAGCCCAGGTTGCCCAAAGCCCCGTCCAACCTGGCCTTGAGCCCTGCCAGGGAGGGGGCAGCCACAGCTTCTCCGGGCAACCTGTGCCAGGGCCTCACCCCCCTCACAGGGGAGAATTTCTGCCTTATAGCTCATCCAAATCTGCCCTCTGTCAGTTTAAAACCCTTGTCCCTCGTCCTGTCCCTCTGCCCCTGATCCAGAGTCCCTCCCCCCTTTCCTGCAGCCCCTTTCAGCCCTGGGGGGCCGCTCTAAGGTCTCCCCCGAGCCTTCTCTCCTCCAGCTGAACCCCCCAACTCTCAGCCTGTCCTCACAGGGGGGGCTCCAGCCCCCCCAGCATCTCCGTGGCCTCTCTGGCCCCACTCGAGCAAGTCCATGTCCTGATGTTGGTGCCCCCAGAGCTGATCTGTCTGTATTTCTGCTCAAAGGCTTTGTCTTCCTCTTAGACGTGCGGAAGTTAATCTCAGTTACGTTTTTAAGTTCCACCTCAGTGTGAACACTTGCAAATGAAACTGCATTAAGCAAAGTGAATTAAGACTAGCTCACTGCTGAGCATGTGAGTATGTGTGTGCACAATAGACTTAGTGCAGCTCACCAGTTTCGTTTACTCCTGTTATTTCAAATGTCCCCATGCAGAGACCTGGAGAAATGGCACTGCCCTCCTGCGTTTACAGTCAAAACTCCTTGTGAGACTGCCCCAAAATGCATCTAGAGGAGTGTGTTGTGTTCTAATTTGTGCTGTGTGGATTGAAAGCTGGTGAAATCTGACCGTCTCTCTTCTCTCATCCTGTGCAAGCGGGTCTTTTCTGAGTTTGTAACCGTGCAAAGTCCTTTACAGTCTAGAAGAGGTGCCAAAGCCCTCTTTGCCTCGTACCCAAAGTCTGCAATGCGTTTGCTTTTCCTAGGACGAGCGAGTAATCTTGTCTGCTGCGGGGGAGAAAGGAGCTGGTGGGCAGGTTTCTCTTTGACCCCCCAATGCCACGTCTCTTTCCCGGCAGGTTATGGGTCTGTCGGGTTGTACCCACACCCTCAGAGTGAGTGTTTTAAAATACAACCTGGGATTTGAGAAGTATCTGGGTCTGAGGTCACAGGCATAAGCTTTTTGGATGGGAGGAAAGGGGCAAATTACAAACCTCTCCAGTGATTTAACATCCTCTGCTATGTAGATGAAATATTAAGCTATTAACTTTTGTGGCAGATACAGAAATGCACATGAGACATATGACTATAGACCTCAGACGTATATACATATAGAACTGTCAACCTGCATTTTATATTTAGGTGTCAGCCACACTTGTTCATGAATTTCACACTTGTGTTTATACTCTATTTTCCTACGTACCTTTTTTCGGACGCAGTAGCTATTAATGTTTAATTCTAGTGGATCTAGGCTTTAGAGTATTAAGCTTAATGAAAAATTAAAAAGAATTGTAGTTCTTTCAACAGCTACATGTAACAACTCCTACATGAGAATAAATACTGCTTTCTCCCATGAATATAATTATTTTAAATAAAAAAGAAAAGAAACATTAGTTTGGACTCACTTAGTAGCAATTATATGTTTAAGAGGTGTAAATAACTTGCTATCCAGACATTACAAATATCCAGGTGCTCTGTATGTGCTGATGACAACAAAATTGAAAAGAAAGACTGTAATAATTCTGACTGGTTTTCTCTGCAGAAGATATTGATTATTTGTGTGTGGTGAGAGATTTGGAAAATTCAATTAAAGGAGTTGTGCAAAGGTTTCATAAATTTTCCTTGTACAGCGTGTACACAGACATTGTTGCGTATTAAATCAATGCAGCACTTCACAATATATTTTCTTTGAAACATAAAAATAAATAACATTTAAACAGTTCTGCTTACTACAGAAACAAATTTTATTTTCTGTGAAGCATTTAGTCATGTGCTATCACTGACTCATACACATTTGCCAGCTGTAACAAATTTTATAGACGTTTTCTCCAGAGACATAGCTCATATACTATGAATTTTTAAATGAGCAAATGGTGAAGAAGGGATGTCAGCAATATAAAAATTGATCAGTTAAAAGATAAAAGCATAAGTAAAGAGATTTGTATGGTAGTCTTAATAGGTTTTATTAAATAAAAATACTATAAAAAGACAGTAATGAATAGACTGAAGGTTTTAACTGTGGTTGAGGTGGAGAAAAATTATTCTGGCACATTTAGTAGAAGATTGGTTTTATATCACCTGACAGGTGAACATTTTTTTTCTCTCTGCTTTTTAGATCTGTAAATGTTTTAGAGCAGTCAAACTTGGGAAAGAATGGCGGTGGGAGTAGGAGGGGAAAAGAAACTTGGGAAGATTCTGCCCTTTTAATGCTTTTTGTGGGCTGGGGACAGGAGACACCGTGGCAAAGGGCAGGGAGGCTCCTCCCAACCCTCCCGCGCAGGGTGAGGTTTTGTGCCGCCTCCGGCTGCGGCCCAAGCGTCCTTCTGGGCATCTCCCAGCTGCTCCAGTCACAACAGATTTTCATCCGGAAGTTTTGCTAATGTTCTCTTTGCTTTAATGTAGTTTAACTTCCTTAGAAGTTCTGCACATAAAAATATCAAGAGTGAGAAGGGTTGGTAGGGCTTTGTTGGGGTTTTGGGTTTGGATTTTTTTTTTAGAGCAACTCATGATCTTCATTAGCTCACACACCAAAAAAACCCACAAAAAACCTAAGAAAAGAAACCAAAAAGGCTGAAATTGCTACAAACAAACATAGTAAGTTTTTGGAGTGTATGAGTACTAAATCATACTATTTCAGTATCTAAATCTTATTGCCATCTGGATAAATATTACTATAAATAGGCCTGTTTTGTCAAAATGTCATGGTATATATTTGGAAAGAAAGTCGAGTTAGTGATGTTTTATATGAATCTGGGCAGCTTACATTTTTTTTTAAGACAGCTTCTCAGAGTGAAACGCAGCTCTTGGCATGGTTGCCAGTTCTTTGAGTACTGCATCGTCAGAATGCTGCAATTGGGGATTAAAGGCTTCATCAGGACTGAACTGGAAAGTTGCACTTAGTACAAAGAAACCAACTGGTAATTAAATTGCAGTCTTTTTCTATTACTTGTCATACTTCATTGAACAATTTGCTATTTTAAGCGGTAGTTAGTGGTATTTTTTGATGATAATTTGTGTAAACAAAGGGTGTTTACTAGGTATAAGGCTGAAAAGTTGTACCTGAGGCACAGTTGAATCGGATGCCTTTTTAATGGAGTAAGCTTACGAGACTTAGCTTAGGACAGATCTCCAGCTTGGTCTGTGTGAGCTCCAAGTAATGTCACTGGCACCTCCCGTCAGGCCCCCAGGCAGGTCCTCTGCCTCGTGTGACACCCGGGGAGTTGCACCACCACCCGTGGCTCTGGGGCCTCGCTCCCAATAGGTTGGTACCCAGCCCCTCTCCACGCAGCAGGAGGCTTTTTAGGTCTAAGCCACTGTAAATATCTGTGTGTGGTTCTCGGTATGTTTAACGTAAAGCGACTGAGTTCTCTCTTCACCCTTGGGTGGTGGTGGAAGCAAAAGGCAGTATGAGCAGCAGATGCTAAGAGTACTGCGACTTCTGCTTGGGCCACAACAACCCCCAGGGGGGCTACAGGCCTGGGGAGGAGTGGCTGGAGAGCTGCCGGTCAGAGAGGGACTGGGGGGGTGAGAATGAGCCAGAGTGTGCCCAGGGGGCCAAGGAGGGCAACGGCATACTGGCTGGTGTCAGCACTGGCGTGGCCAGCAGGGACAGGGAAGGGATCTGAGCCCTGGGCTCGGCACTGGGGAGGCCGCCCCTCGCTGAG